CCTTCAAAATTCCTTGGAACCACATTGAAACTGCCCCTTTTCTCTACCACTACGGTGCCCCACCGCCTGCGTATCCGGGTCCCCATTCAAGTAGTGACTATTGGAAATCGCCTTCACTTTCCGTCAACACAGAACCCCACCGCCTGTGAATCCCGATCCCCCAAAGCCACTATTCAAACCAGCGCCACTACAGTACCCGGGCACCTACTTAACCAAGCACGCTGGGCGGGAAACTGCTCAGCAATGGGCATACGGCGGAAAATGCTTATTAAGGAAGCTTTTCATCACGGGTTGACACACATGTCATTGGAAAGCGTATTCCACGTGGAATAACAATGTACAGTAATAGTGCACAATTACGTTGCAAAAGGAAAATGGAACGGAAGAAAACATAATCTTGTGTTTTGGGCGTGACGAACTGCAAAGTTCGGGGCCATATCGAGGTGGAAAATTTGATCTATGATAAGGTGTATCATAATAGTCTTGCAGAGAACAAGGAGTTATCTACGATAATAGGCCGCCCTAACCCGCCTCCTTAGATTTCGAGAGTAATCTCTCCAAAGCTAGGGTAATGTCGAAGAATATGTGATTTTTCAATCTCTTATCTTATTGGGACATGTGAGGAGTACTGAGTGCAGAGACTGAAGAAGCATTCATCTGCCGTCTGCACATTAAAAATGAACGCTGGAGGCTGAACAAAACCAATCAGTCGTTTTATTTTCACATTGTACTGAGTGGAGTCGAGTACTTTACGCAATCCAAAACAAAGCATTTTTAATATTCAGGATATCTGCCTATGGACCTTGACAATAATTCTATCAGCAGACACCGTGACACCTAATTAGCTAACAATACCGAGACTAAGGTCAACGATATTTTTATCAGGTTGAGTCGTAGGTCCTCGGGCATTGCGATAGTGATAATTTCTAGAGACCATAACTCGGGAAAGGTGTAACAAAAATGGACGCGCGTGGCATCGTTAGATAGAGTATGAAAAGCTCTTTCAAACGCATGTTAAGAAATACACCCAGTCCCTCCTTCACTGCAACCGTGCCCCATGATTTCAAACCGCTGCAACTCCACCTCGGAACACCATCACTTCTTTCTTTATCTGACCAAGAACTCGATAGACGTATAAAGAAAGTTTACATAAAAGACGCTCCTGTTAGAGGCATAATTTACAAGTGGCGCTCGAAGTTTGTCATCGGAAGAAGACTGTTCCATTGTAGATGAAGACCGTCCGAGACACTTAATGGAGTTGGAATTAGACGTGCTGCGAGCCAGGTGGAAGTCGATCCGCATCAAACTACTAGTGAACTGACAATCATTTTTGCGGAGAGTCAATCCGCAGTTATTCGTGGATTGAAGTCAATCGGCAAGGTGCGAAGGTTTGGTCGGTGGGTGCCTCATGCTTTGAAGCAGTATGACATAGACCGCCACGCCGACGTGGCACTCTCTCTCCTGACGCTCAGGCGCACCCATACGTGGCTCGAGCACCTAGTCACCGGGGATGAGAAGTGGATCCTTTACTCTGACGTTTACCGGCGTGCTCAATGGGTTGGCTAGATGCGAATGCAGAAGACTTCCCTAAACCCAGTGAACACGCCAAGAAGGTTATGCTCCTCATCTGGTACAGCGTTCTCAGTGTTGGATACTGAAAGCTGCCAGGCGAAGGATGTACAGTGACCGCAGACGTCTACATTAAGCAAATGAGGAATTTGAAGGCGATCTCGAAGCTTCACGTCCACAGCGGCGGAAAGTTTACTTCTAACACGACAACGCTCGGCCGCGCATTGCAAGAACGACCCAAACTGAACTAATGAATTCCGGCTGGACAATTTTGCCTTACTCACCATATTACCCAGACTTGGCTTCCTCGGATCACCACCTTTTCCCTCATCTCCAACGTCATCTGGGTGGGCAAGACATTTAAAATCGCGACGACAACAAAATGGCACTCGACCAGTTCTTTAAAGGACAGCCCCCAGAGTTCTGGAGCAAGGGCATCTGAGATCTGCCCACGCGTCGACAGAAGACCGTCGATGACAATGGGGCATATTTCAAATGATTCGCAATTATCGTTCAAAAACTGCAAGATAAATACAGTCAATGTCAATTTGTCCGAGGACTTATGACTCAACCTAATAACCTCTCAAATACTTGACTTCGAACCGACTTATGGGAAAAGACGGGTAAGACGCAAATCTGCGCGTTCTTACGGCGAGTATTGTAGTTCAGATTAGCACTGAGAAGCCTTCTTCTCACTTTTTGTTATATGCCAGACAAATGAAGGCTGCTGTTGGAGAAATCGACTTCGACCGATTCGACTGCACAACGCGACAGTACAGCAATAGCCAAGTGGTGCCGTCAAACTCAATGAAAATTCTCTAAAACTAGACTTCTAACGAGGTGGTACCACCGGTGAATGGAAAGGTTATGTGACAGGAAATGAATTGCCTAGGTTGTTTCACAGCTTAGCTCTTCAATCGTTGGACGAAACTTACTGACGTATAAGGACTAAATTGTAGATGCACCGAAGCTCACCCTGACCACATTCTTTGATTATCTGGGAACTGAGTAAGCTGAATAATAGCTGTTCCATGCCGTTCAGCTGCGTCTTCTCAGTTGCAAGGCGAGTGACCCTCCCGATATGCACACTCAATTCGGCTTGCGTGGACAGCCGCCATAGCAAAATGAGAAGTGATTTCGCAGAGTATTCATTTTTCATCTCTAGTTAACAGCTTCTTTAAAAACTACTTTTTATCCAGCCGAAAAACAGAAAGAGCATAGGTGTATGAGCTAGCGCACTGCATGCCATTTATTAGGCTATCACCTAACATGTCAACATTCTGTGGTCGAGCGAGTACAAGCTGCTGGACAGTGTTGGATGGATGCAGCCGAACTTCTTCGTATGACTGCGATTGCTAACCACTTTTCCTTCCGAATCCATCCTGAAAATGTCAAGAAAGAAAAAACGCGTCTGTGGTGGCTGCCTCACTGACTGCAAAGCGAGGAATGTATGAACGGCAACGTTGATTCAGGTGCTGCTTCCTACTGATGTGCCATTGATTTTGTGAACTGCTGTCCTTGATCCACTACCGCGACACAATACATGAGCGATGACATGAATGTGCTATTGTGGAATTGGAATAGTGTCAAGAGCTAAACAAGTATACTTGACTTTATGTACTAATTGCAAAGAAGCCTAGAGAATACATGATGAATTCATGTAAACATTTACTATGCATCTTATCAGCAAAAAGAAGGTGCCATCATCCTACTTATGGTGTCTAAGTGTGTCTGTTGGTGTGTTTGTGTGTGTGTGTTTGTGTGTGTGTTTGTCTGACCAGAAATTTATAACTCCTGTCCCACTGGACCTAGGGAATTCAAATTTGAAAGAGAGATAGGGGGCAGGATGGGAACACTGATGGCAGATGATAGGAAGTGACAACTATCGTTAGAAATGAATAAGGAACCTGAGAAGGCAAAAGCCTCAGGATCGATTCTCATTTTATGATGTACCCGTGGAGGAAAGAAGGTTCAGTAATAACGAAATCTTATAATAGTGTTATTATCACTTGAGAACATTAGTGAGTACTACTTATTTCATTGGTTGCCTATCAGTTAAACATTTAATGATTCACAATTTTCAAGATCAAGAGCAACCGATTGACACTTTTAATCGTAGGCGTATGTGTGGGCATGTGGTGCACGCATTGGCGTGCGTAGCCCAACTGGTTTGATATAATTGTTCCCTGCGCTAGTTAGAAGACGTTTCGAGTACTCCTCGACGAAGGCACGCAAAGTTCCATTAGGGTTACCAACCCGGGCTAACTTTAACGATTCCTGATAAGTATCAATTGTGACGTATTTTGGAGCGCAGGCTTTTCTTTTCAGTGTCGACCATACCCACTAGTCCACTGCATTTCGGTCCGACGGATTCGTAGATCAATTGGAAGCAGGGACAAAACTGCAAACACGTTGAACACGTTCTCATTGCCATTCCTGATCTTTTTCCGTTCGTAAGCAGGTCTTCCGAAGTTTTCAAATCGTACCCTCGAGTTGATTTACGATCCTTAGCGGGATCCTCAAAAAAGGCGCATCATAAGGATTACTTAATAATTTTTAAATTCGGTTTTCTCGGCAACAATTAGCGATATCGCTCTGATGACACAGGCTGAAGCACAGACCGTCATAAAAGAAGGAGAATGGCTGAATAATCTGAAAATGATGCTTTCCTTCTCGAAGTTCACATCGTCAGAAATCTCGAGAAGTTTTCGAGAACTGTCTAGTTAGAGTTGTTACTGTCAACAGAATTCTCTCCAGATTTCGAAGCCTATCTAGTAGGGTTGTTATTGTCTGAGCAAGTTTCTCCCAATCGAATCAGCAAATGCGTTCACCTCGGCGGCCATTTTTGTCATACTTCTGTAGTTTTCGCGATGAAATCACTCCCTAAAAGATGTGTTGAGAAAAAAACTTGTAATTGATACAAGGCTACCGATTTGGGGCTTGCCTTTAAATTATCCTCGCATTGAGATACCACAGACTGTCGCGCGGAAAATAGCAAGACGGCAAGTGATTTCGAAAAAGGACTCACTAATCTCGAAAACGCGCACAAAGATGGAACGGCTGGTGGATGGGAGCGGGGCTTAACAATTTTTCAAAAAGTAATTGACTGAGAGCCCCAAAGCATAGTACATGAGCGCAGGTATATCGAAATACAATAGGATATGTAGATTAGAAGAAACTTTCCAAACGAGAGAATCGCGCTCTTCCAAATAATGTCCCAATATTCATGGCGAACCCTGTAGAAGGATCAGGAATTGATAGAGTTCTGCGGATCATTAACCATGATCGTGGTTTACGCAGAAGAGACATCAGCAAGTTCAAGATCGTGGATGATATAGATGGGGAGGCACATGAGGAAAGAAATAGTACAAAGCTTCGAGAGTTTCCGCAATCAGATTGGCAAATAGAAAAACGCAAGGTAAGAGTAGCGTTTATCTTAAAGTTGAACTCACCTGACATTCATACGCTCTCTTACGATCATTGTTTTGATGATGGAACTCTGAAAAATAGAAGATTTTCAGTATATACATTTGGATCACGAAGCCATTGACAATTGCTGCATAGAATTCGGCAGTCCCCGCTTTGACCTGCCTTTTAATGTCGATGGGGTAAGTTTAGTTGCTCGCTATGGATAGCTATTTATTACGTACACGAGTTTTGTTGAGTGTTCCAGAAAAAAATGACTCAGTTACACTGCATGAATCCTCCGATACATGATCTCGTTGACATCATTGAGAAAGCATCCTAACTGAGCTGGATTGCCAAATATCACACGACTCTGCATGTGTTTTAATACCATTATTGCGTTTTCTGGTTAGCCACAAATTTTGCACTTGTTGACAGCACTTTAATTCAAATAAAGATTATGCCTGACGGAATTGATCTGATTTTGGTGATATACTTACTGATTTGTTCTCTTTCTTAGAATAGATCGAGATGTTGTCGTGTGAAACACACTTGACCTCACTGTTGATGAGAGGTAATGCCCTGACAGGGGTGACTGTTTTCAGAAATCAGTTCATCGTGAACAATGAACTGTTCCAATACGATTCTACCTTATAGCGGAGTTGTTGTAGTTGAGCTTATTCGGCAGTCTAAGTCAAACTCAGGTATTAGATACCAATTGAATTACGCACACTAACGCGTGCGTCATAGCATCAGCATCAGTACCTCTTAAGGCTCTTCTCCTTCCTTCCCAGTATTTGGGCTGCTACGAAATCGAATTGGGATTTCTTGTCCTCGGCACCAACCGGTTCGGTGCGCAGGACTTTTCCATCTTTTCGTCCTCTGAGCTCACAAATGCTCTATCGGCTGTGCCCTATTCCCACCTATTCCGACCATTCCCGGAGTCTTCAGTTGCATCCTCAGACGAAACAGGATTTCTTGACAGAGAGTAGACAGAAACCGATAATGCATACATTTTATGCAGTTTGGTACAGTTTATCCTATTGATTTATCCTAACGCCTGCCTCCCACAGCGCTGAGGAGTTCCCGGCTTTGGAAGAAATCGGACCTTAACGCGCGTTAATACGACGGAACCCAATTGTGGATGAATCTTGATACAGTCTTGTCACAAGCCCTGGATGAACGTCTCTCATGCAATATGATAGTTAATTTGATTGAAAGAGTGTTCTACCAACATCCTAGGTGCACCCCTCCCTTTAAAATGACGTTTCAAAATAAAGGGACTAATGGATTACGATTGAAAATCGTTGAGTTGACCCTAATAGTTCACATGCTTTTCGGTCAGGATGCGCTACAGTAAGTCAGAAGCAGATCAGAGCAGCAGCAGAAAGAGTACTGACGCAACCTTATACGCAAGATCTCCGGATTAAAAATAGTTGAATGTGAGTGAGACAGTAAAGAGAGTTTGAGAATACTGCGTCTCCTTTTTTGACACTGGAATACAGGTCTGTTTCGACTTCCAGCGTATCAGGGGATAGCCGAGTCCCTGATCTGATATTAGACAAGAAGAGCATTTTACAAGGAATATTTTATCATTTGGAGGCTTCAATGCAGCAAGACAACAGGATGTATCATTCAAAGGGCAAGGGAGGAAAGTTCACATAAATTGATTCAAGTCCGAGTAGATTGAGAGCGAAACCATTGATCAGTGTTTGGTACTAAGCGGAATCGGTTCCTGCTTCGACGTCTGTTTTCATCCAAAATACAATAATTCATTAGAACATGTAAAATAGTTGTTTGAAAACAGTTTCGCCACGGGGGTTCATTTGTACTGTCACGAGCTAACACAACAATCGACCATTTATTTGTCTCAACCTCAAATTCGGGTTACTAAACCTCGAAATAAGAATTTCAAAGTGCGAGTTAATGGCACCGAGCGGAAAATCCATCGAAAACAAATATTACCTGAATCGTATAATCAAGCAGCAGTTTTAGGACAACAAATCAGTCAGAAAAGCTGCGTTCGCAAGTGCCGGTCTTTTTCTGGTACACTGGTACTAGAAAGGGTTCCTCTTCGTTGCGCGCGTCCGTCGAAACTAGGTTTGCCGTCGCATGCGGCGGGTCGGCCCGCGAAACTTGACGGGCGTCGGAGTTGTGAGCGGGGCATACGATTTGCGCTTGGTAAACGGCAGTCAGCCAAAGAGAAGATATTCCACGGACAAATGCAAAACGTTCGTTCCATTGACACTCGATTGTACTGTGATGTCATCTCGAGACCTTGATGGGGTGCGCCGCGAGCGAAACGGGCGGAGTGACCTAATTTTGACGGACGCGCACAACGTACGTTCCCCACTGGGAGTCGGTGGACAGAGAGGTGATAGTCATTGAGTGGACACGTTTGGAATTGTTGGGGTAGACCGGTTGTGGTGTGGGGCTGGGGATAGAAGTGGATGAGAAGAAGATCCCATTACTCCTACCACGGCAATCAATGCCGGTGCATCTCTTTTCGTTATCGATGGGAAGGCATGGAACGAGCTAGGCCGGCCACTGCTTATCAATGCTGCAGTAGCTGCGACGGCACGACGGGAGTAATAATCGTATTAAGATCCAAGCAAGAGTCCCACTGAACCTTAAACTCGCCCTAAAGGAGGCGATAGTGGATAGTCGCATCTTTAAAGAGGCGACACACTACTTACGTGGACGAGATATGATGAGAGGTTTGAATGGATCGTGGACCACATTATGGGGTGGTACACAAGGAGAAACATATGCTTAATGTAGAAATCGCAATAAAATTTTTGCGTCACTAGACAACAAAGAGAAGTTGTTTCAGGATGGCTCAGGAACGTGCACGAGTGCACGGGCAGAGCTCAAGTTCAAAAATGCCATAGTAGTGCTTTAATTCTGCAGAACTAGACCATTACCTTTTTCGGTGATGCCCAAAGTAGAAGCAATGTTGGAAGAAATGGCTCGTCATGAAACAGGAGGTAGAGCATAGTAAGTGGGAAACACCGCAGGTGGTTGTACTCAAAGAAAGCGGGAAAATAAGGATCTGTGTTATTATGAGGTCATGGTAAGTCCGCAACTAGATATTAATCATTACCCATTGCCTATTCCAGACGATTTACTTCACATGTTACACGGTAGCAAAAGGTTCCCGAAAGTTGATTTTCCAGGTGACTATGTACAAAATAATGTGGAGGAGAGCTCAGGGGAATATACGGCGACCAATGAGCATAAGGGACTACTGGAGATACGCGATTTTCTTTTGGAATAGCGACAGCACCAACAATACTCCAGTGGATTATGAAGGAGACGCTTGTGGGGATCAAAGAATGTGAATTCATCTAAACTGTTTTGCTGTTACAGGTCCAGATGATGAAACATTGGGAATAACGAAAGAATGTCTCAAATAGACCAATTGAGGTCGGGCTTTGCTTTAAGAAATATGAATTTTTTTCTGAAGGAAGTAGAGTTTTTGAGCCACGTGCTTGGTGGAAAGGGCGTTAGGCCTTCTCTCGTTATTTCAGAAGCGATGCTGAACATGCCAGTGCCTGGAAATATAAAAGACTTGTAGTCTTATCTAGGCATGATACAATACTTTAGGAAATCTATCTCTCGATTAGCAATATTGGCGGCGCCGTTAAATAGCAGTTTGCGCAGGAAAGGTGTACCGTGGAAGTGGGGTGGCAGATGGGAGAAAGCTCTCAAAAAATACGTGTAAAGTTTACAGCAACGGAAACATTAGCACATCATAATTCGGATAATCCGGTAGTATTAGCCATCGATGATGCAACCGAGAAATAAATGGAGAAGGAGGCGTCGGGAATAGTATATGGAGCCGAAAAATTCAATCAGTTCCATCTTGGTCGACGGTTTGCGCTGTAATCCGATCACCAAAATTTATGCTCAGGCCGAAAAGGGTATACGTTTGATAGCAGCGAAAAGTCTGCATATACGGGGATTGAGGTTCATGCTATACTCTTCCGAGGTGCTATAAGAGGTTTTGAGTTCTGCTTGAGTTTTGAGTATAAGAGCTTTGAGTTCGGTAACGTAGACGAGTTATCTTTGTTGCCTGACCCAAAAGAATTGCCAAGCGCAGAATTTGTGGTCATTGAGGTGCAGGAAGAGATAATGGCGGTGGAAAGGATGGGAAACCTACCTGTAAAAAAGCTAGGATAGCTGAGGCTGCAAAAGCAAGTTGTCTGCTGCACTTGGCGATAAATTGTATTTGGAACGGTCGGCAAAAGAAGTCACGGATGACAAATTAAAGCCGTATACGGTGAAGATCTCCCTAATGGTTGCATACAGTAGGGATATCAGGTAGCTAGGCCCGTGAAATTTCAGTTAGTAGGGCTGAGAATCTTACTGGCAGTCACTATAAAAGGGACAGAATGATCACTTTGGCCCTAATCAAGATATGGTTCCCGGGAATAGATAGAGTTTCAGAAGACGTGGTGAGAAACGTAAAGCTTGTGCAGTTACGAGCACGAATCCGGTCAGAATACCCACCATACGTGAGAATACCTGCAGGAAGTCTTCAGAAACAGTTTACAGAATCTGCCCATAGATCTCTGCGAGACGGGTTGTGGAATAAAATGGTTGATGGTGGTGGATGCAAAATTTGAGTGGCCGAAGTGATCAAGATGGAGGCTACACCACAGCAGGGAAAACAACACTGAAGCTAAAGAAAATACAAGGGAAGATACTCGGTCGTAGTGGCCATTCAAGATGAGATGTATACCTCCGTAGATGGTTTGGAACGCTGATCTCAAATCTGTGTTCCAATTCTGCGAAACGAGTCTGGGAAAAAAAGTCACGGAACTAGTGCCCTCCTGTGTTATACCACTGCACTGAACGGATTACCGAGTCGAGCAAAGTCCTGATCTGTGCAACAGTGGCCGAGCTGATGGTGTGGTGGACTGGTGGACATGGCATCAGGGTTCGATTCGTTGATGCATGTGCTCGTTTTGCTTTCCCAAAAATGTGTCCTAGAAGCTTGCAAAACGTTTTTTGGGCTCAATATTGACCATCTACGCAAATATCCCGCATTTTGAGAAGATTGGGGAGGTATTACATGGAAAATGTTCTTTGCCCTCACCAGCTAATAAGGTTGGAGCTCACTCGAACAACTGAGGGATTCTGAACAATAACTCGAAATGGGCTTCAGAAGCTTCATAGAATGTGGTTGCGTTGCGTTGCGTAACGTGGGCGCCATCTAGGAAGAGGCAGTAATGAAGAGCTTTTGAGCCGTATAACTCGATGCTATGAGATTAATTCGTTATCCACTGCGAGGAAATCGAGTCCGTGAAAGGCTATCACAATGATCCTCTGCGGTCGCCT